AGAGTCGTGGGTTGTCACCGTCTGTTGTTGGGTTGGGTAGAGAACTTGATCAGATTCACATGGCACTTGATGCTGGCTGTGCTCAGTGCTGGCACTTGCAGTCTGCTCCTCTGGAAGGTTCTTGTCTCCTTTCCAGTGTTCACAGGGACTATCAGCTGTTCACACTACAGATATTCCTGTTATAATAACCAAGCTACTCCCTTATTGCATAGGGTTAACTAAAATTCATATGCTAACACTGTTATCAAGTAGGCCTAACTTAAGTGAACTGCTGCTTACAGAGTCAGGAGCTTCTTTCCTTGTATTTTTAATAACAGTCACAGTGGAAGTGACAATAGTTCGGGCCATTTTGCCATTAAGGTTTACATACAGTAACAGCATCATATATATCCTAATTGTTCAGATGTGCAGGAGAGAGCTTTGCTTATGTTAGTGTCTGTGTGTTTGCAAAGTGTTTTGACCATACTCCGTTATTACTTCTAAGCAAACCTTGGGAAGAAGGGTGGTTTTGCCCCAGGAAGCCACTGGAGTGCAGAGTAGCGCCAAAAAAAGTCCAAACACACTGACTGTTGCAGCAGGATGCAAATGTGCCTTTGAGATAGTAGAGAAGTTTGTATCTGCAATCTGTATTATGGTTTGTTTTTAACCTAGTAGTTGGAGGGATCAATTAAAAAAACCAGTCCATGAAAATTAAACCAAAATATGTTCCATAAGTTGCTTTACCATGCTTGGCTTCTTCATTTCAGCTGCTATTTTATTGAAATTTTCTTCTCTTGTTTTGTTTCTTTCTACTACTTTGAAGCATTTAGATTATAACTTGTTATTCTAGTGGTTGCAATTAAACTTTGTCATATTAACATTGGCATATTGGTTTTGCCCTAAGGTTGTTCAGGGGAATAATGTTCTTATACTTTGAGGGAAAATCTACTATAGATTTCTTCTATTGTTCAAGTGGACACAACATGGAGCTCCACTCTAATTCTGAGCGTATTTCCTGCTGAATTCTAATCTCATAGTGGATGAGACATACCTTCAACTTTCATTGTTCTTTGTACACTAATAATGGGCTTTTCAAAGTTACGTTTTAAGTGCTTAGAGTAGTTAGTTTTGCTTCAAATCTTCTTTCTTTTTAAAAACTTACCTAAGGTTGTTAAGCAGCCTGACATTGTTTATCTCCAGAGTATTTCTTGCAATTGGGAACTGCACTATTGGCTTTTTAAAAGAAAAAGGAGGTGTTCAACCACAGATTTGCTGTAGTTGATCCTTCTTAGTACTTAATGCATTGTAACAATACGGCTTTTTCTTAAGTCGTATTATGGTTGTGAATTAAGATTGTTACTTGAAAATATTTTACATCTTTTATGTTGTTTTAAAATAGTGCTTATGTTGTTATCTTTGGATGTATTTTTGTATTTAAAGCTATTCTGACTACAGTTGTCTTTATCTGCTTCCTTCCTTCCTGTCCACCTGCCAAAGCAGTACAACTAAATATGAGGCGATCTGCAGCTCCGAGTCAAGTCCTAGGAAATGCAGCCAAAAAGCCCAAGTTTACACCACCAGGAAAATGTCTTGCAGTTTGTCCCAAGAATGAAACTAAGGAGATGGACCAAGAAATGAAATTAAAAGAGGTAAAATGAACAGTGCACTCACAAAAAAGTATATTTGTTTGTACAGTATTGTGACTAAAAGACAGCATCTGAGCTCATCACAACCAACCTCTGCTTAAATAATCTGTTCAGAATAGATTCTGATAGCTTTGCTCTCAGTACCTTTGTCTTCCTTCTCATAAGTCTAGGAAGTGGATACAGAAAAGTGTTTTCAAAGAAGTAAAAGTAATCAGTGTTGAGCCCAAATACAATTCCCAGTGTAGCTGAGGTAAGGATTGTATCTTTGTGTGGGCTTTGTTGGATGTTTTTGGTAAAAATAGTTAAAAACCCAGGATACATGTAATAAAGTGTCAGTGCATTGAGTTGCAGTTTTGCTGAAAAGAACTTTCCCTAAAACCTTTAACAATAACCCAAAAAAGCATCACAATTTTTATTTATTTATCTACATAGGACTTCTTTAAATTCAATTCATAAACTGTTGGCACAAGTGGTGTTTGTTCTGTTATGAACACTGGGATGTATATAGTTGTGTAGGGACGTATATATTTATGCAGACAGTTTGATAATGGCAGTCGGTATTCTTGAGATCCCTTGCTATTTTCTCCATTTCTCTTCACCTGCATGAAGGAAATGCTACTGTGAACTCATTTCTCTTTTGCAGAGAGATGAGAAAGAGGGAAGCGCTTCATTGCTTTCTAAAATATATGTCCAGAATCAAAATGAAAATTTTACACAGTCTGTGGAGTCAACTGGAAAAGTAAAGACAAAAGCAACTTTCAGCATTGATAAGTGCAGCAAGGTGGAAATGAAATCACTAAATGTGCTCAAAGCTGGTAAGATGATGTTTCTTATTTACTGCCGTGTATCATTAGAGAGTTTTAAAGCTTATGAATGACATACTGCTTACTAAACTTTCATGGAATACTATTATAAGAGTTGTGCAATGGTGGCATTATTTAGTGTTCTGCTGGTTAGAGAGTAAATGAAACAGCGTTAAATGACTTTTTTAATAAAAAGCGGGGGGGGGAAGCGTTTTAGAAGCCAGTTGATAGTGTCATCACTTGATTTGTGTCTTCCAGAAAAGCACTATAGTCAACTCACTCTAATCCACAGTTATAGCAATACAAGAGCTGTGATGCCCTAAATAGTGGGAAAGTGTTGTAATTTGGAGAACTTGCTGACCTCATGCAGAGAATGCTGATCCTTCTGAATGGATTTGGGTCTTTTTCCAGAATTCACGAAGGTTTCTCTTCTTCAGTGTCACCATTGGGCATGCAAGGCTCAAGCCAACTCTAGCAGCAGAGCAGAAGTGGCTCTGCTCATTTGTGTGTGTGTACTCTAGTCCACTGTGCTCTGGTAGTGAATGTTACTCTGAAAAGCTGGGTAGTAAGCACCACAAAGACACTGAACTGTCTGAACTGTAGCAAAGGCACTTTGATGGACTGTGTGGGGTTGTGTGTTTTCGTTTCCCAGTCTTGGTGTGCCCTGACCACAGAAAACAGCACAGTTCTGTGTTGTGTGACCTAAGAGTCGAGTGCATCTTGAAAGCCTTGCACTTGAACTGGGTTATTACATTGATGGATGAAAATCACTCCTTTTAGAGCCAGCTCAGGCATTTCAACACCTGTCTTACAGTTATTTCACTGTTGTTTCTTCATAATTAACGACATTGATAATGATGTTTTAGAGTTCATTTAACTGATAGTTTGTGTAATGAGTAGAGTTTTAAAAGAGCATTTCATGGCCACTTATCACCTTGAGTTGTTGGAAATATAATTCAGAAGGCTTTAACAAAGTCTTATTTTATTTGTGATAAAAGCAGCTAAATTTTGAAGCAAAGCTGCCATAGCTCTGCATTCCAAGGTCCAGCCAATAGTTAGGCTAATTCCCAATAGATAATTATTTCCAGTATGCACTCATACATCCAGTATAGATATACACACAGCTGGTGACACAGGCTAGCATGGACACAGCACTCAGGCAAGCACAAGCAGTGCCAATGGACACATCCTCTTCCTCTCTCTGGCTGATCAGGGTGAAAGCCTGTTCATGGAAAAAAATGAACATACATATATCTACCTATAAATACACATGGACACAGAGAATGCAGATCCCTCCAATAACAACTGATCTTGTGCACTCAGTCTGTTCAGTAACCAGCTCCTTGATTTGTTGGACACCCCAGCTGTGGGCACATGAGCCACGAAGGCCCAGAGCTCCCAGTCCAGGTGCTGGTATGCAGACCTGCACTCTCACAGGTCAGAGCACACTATAAGGTCCCTCAAGTACTTGGCCTTAGCCACTTGGTCTAATTACTGGTGGGCTCCTGGATCCACTTGTCTCCCAGCTCCTTCGTGCACAAGGGATGCACAAGTAAAAATGTGTCTGTCTGGTAGTGAGACTTACCAGTAGCCAACCCCCAGGTGTCCTGGTCTCTGGTATCTTGCTTGGACTTACTGGTCCCTTCAGTAACCAACTCTCAAACCCTCTAATCTCTCCAGTATTTGGCCCAGACTCATCACTGCTCCAATATTTGGCTCCCAAGCCTCTTATCTGACTGCCAGCTAATCCACGTTGTTGTTAGCTAGCGATCACACACTGACACGTATCCAGGCAGAGTATATCGTCTCTGGCCTCTCTGCTGGCACTTCATGTACCTGGGCCCTATGACCTGTGTGCGGTCCAGCTCCAGCTGCTGGCATGTCTACTTCCATAAGCACTTATCCACACAAAATAGAGTCTTTTCACCTGGAAAAATATTTAGAAATGTATTTCAGTACGAAGGCGGGACTGGCTCGGGCAGTAGGATGCAGTGCATTGCTGAAGAAGCTTACTGACCATCACCTGTTTAAAGGTGGCTGCCTTTTTCCTGTTATTGTTATGTGCTTGGTCCTCCCTGAACCACCTTCATCTCTCCCTCTTGCTTGTCCTTGTGGTTTGCTTCCCTCCCTGCCCCCAGCCAGGAATCTCATTATAAGCCATGAGCAATCTCTAGATGCCCTTTCTTGCACAAGTTTCAGGCCCTAGTAGGCAGCAACCCCCTCCATTCTGAAAGGTGCTTTGGAGAGGCTTTCCCACTGACTCTTCCTGATGGGTTTCATCTCCAGAAAATGGGGATGTGACAGCCCTAAGAGGGTGCTGCCACTGGCGTGGTCTTTGACCCAGAGTAGTGTATGCGCTCTGTTTGGCAGAGCTAATGTGGAGAAATCCAGCCTTCTTATATGTCTTTGTCTTATGGCTGGAACTTCCAGTTCTTCTGATGAAGGTTATACTTGCAGAAGATTTTCAGTGTATATGGGACAAGTAGTTTGAGGGGTCATGCTTCCCTACAGGTACATCTGCAAAAAATTCCGTCTGCTGGTTCTGACTAGCAGTGCACTTGAAAGATAAACTGTGGATTTATTTCCAAAATAATCTGGGAAATCAGCAGTCTTTCCAGCAAAAAATGTTGTGAGATGGAAAAGATACTAAATGCATTTTCAGTATCATGAATTCCGGGTGCAGCTGGTATGGGTCCTCTGGGATGAGTTTCAAAAAATAACCAAAAAGCTGTGGAGTGAAACTGGCTGAGCTGCTTCTGTTGATGTGCTGCTGCCTTTCTAAGTAACTGAACAAATCATTTTGTGTCAGAAGCCTTTCTATGCCTGCAGAATGGGGCTAACCCTGCAAGGCTTCATAAAGTTATGATGAAATGTGATATAAAAGAAGGATATGTAATGTCAATGTTAGTTATGGTCTTCAGGTTCACTGGTAGTGAGAAAACAATCCTGTCTCCGTTAAATCTTAAGTAATTTCTTAATAACATAGATTTTCCAAGACGGTTTCTGCCCTTTACGTCACTTTTGTCTGCTATTCATTACACTAATGTAGAAATTACATAGATTGTGTAAACCTTACCCTCCTTTGTAGTGTGAAATGAAATTATTTTGTCAGAGCTGGTTTTGGTATGAAATTCAGAAGTAATGGAAACCATTTGTGAAAGCCAGAGTCAGTTCGGGGGTTTTATTATTATTTATATTGTAATGGAATTTTATCTGACTGCCAGTCTCTGCAGCCGAAGAGTTCCTGTTAAAGGGGCACGAAAATAATTTTAAGATTGAAAAAGTGTGTGTGTGTGTTTGTATTATTTTGGTTTGTTGTCTCTGTATCATTTAATGCAGATGATAAACAGTTTGTTAGTTTTATATCATGCTCAGAGCCGCTGTGTTTGGGTTTCCAGTGCAGCAGTGGAATGTGTAAATAAATACCCTAGTTGCCATTGAAATTCTTGTGAAACACCTGTGGACCACTGGACAACTGCACACTGTTCGCAGAGCTAATCTTTCTGAAACCCAGCCCTGAAAATGCTGCACATTCTTTCAAAAAAGCTTGTTATCTGACACATGGTGTCCATTTCTTGGAGTAGACAAGTAAGGATTTGATTTGATAGCAGCAATCTAAAAATTATAGCATATCTGGCTTAAAACCCACTTGTTTTTCTAGGCTTCTTTTCAAAAAAACTTCTCCCTAAAAATGTCACTAATAAAAGTAAAGCGTAAGGGACTCAGAAATTCTACAAGATGAGCTATTTCTAAAGATGTTTAATAGTTTGTAGCAACTGTAAGTGAAACCTATTTACATGTTGTAATTTTAAGACTGTTTGAACTGTAAGATACTGAACATGCTGTTCATTGGGCACTTTACTGTTTGTGATTATAAGTTCTGAATACTGGAAAATTATGTTACATATCTTTGTAGGAAAATGAACTTCGCTACTGCTTTTTGAATTGGTGTTTGCTTGTGATTAAGAGGCAAAGAGCACAGCAATCTCCTTGGTGTCGTAGTTTTGTATTCAGAATACAGTACTTGTTGACACTGACAATGGATGTGGGTGGGGGAGGTAATTTATTTGACATTGTCATTAGTGTTTTTTCTCACATGCCTCCAGAGAATTCTATCAGCTAAGTCTCCAGGCTCTTTTAAAATGAAAATTACTTTAACATTCCTAAACTACTTAGCAATAAGTGCAAATAAAATCATGAATGTGTTTGGAAGAATATTATTGCACCTCTTAAGTGCTTGGTTTCTACTTGTCCTCATTACATTCTGAGAATCTATAAGCAATAACAAGAAAATACACATAATTTGACTTGGAAGAAACGATGGACAGGCAGATCCCTGAACTATACTTAGTATCTCAGTGTTGCTGGTGAGCAGGATTGGCCAGAACTCATATTTTTTTTACTCACATTTTCTTCTTCAACTTAATGTTTTTAATATATATATCTTTATTTATATAAAACATACACAGTGAATTCAATTGATGCCCATTATCTGAGTTTACAGCTTGCCTTCTGTTGGTATTCTTAATTTAGGAGAATGTTGCTCTGTTTTACTCTCGGGCTTACTACATCATGTGAGGAAATGAATAGCTCTTTCACCTGCACACTTGGATGCCACATTCCAGCTGGACTGAGATTTCATTGTTTGAACCTGATGTAGGTGAACAGAAAAACTGGATATAGAGTTTTATTCTGTTACAGCTCACCTCCTGTTTGTTTTTTGGTTCAGGAGTACCTTGTCTTTCCTCCATCTCTAACATCTGTTCATGTGTGTTCCAGGAGGAACTTTGTCAGAAGTCATACTCAGATATTATCTTTGACCTAACAATGAGGACAGATTGTAAATATTTTACAACAAGGTTAATGTGTTCATCCTGTGTCTCTCAATAGATGTTTCTGAATGCTTTCTATGCTGATGATATTAATTGTATTTATTACTTGCATATAGTTTTGAATATATTTTCTCTATCTTCTCTGCAGTATTAATGTTTACTGAGTACACTGGTGTGTAA